GTCGCAGAGGTCGTCGTGGACGATAACGAGGTTTGTTCGCGGATCGCTAGCAACGCACGAACGCCATCGAGTTTCGTCCGTTGGCCGGCAGAAACACGATGCAAAGCGAGTCCGGCAGTCGTTCGCCCCGAGTAACGGAATACACGTCGTGCTGCCGATGTTTTCCCTTCGATTCTCGCCGCGTGTTGCGCAATATTTATACGCGCGCGACATATGCATCCACCACTCGGTAACTCCACCACCGAGGCCGACCGACCAGCGCGGAGGGGACTTCTTTTCTTCTCCGTGGCAGTGGCTGTGCAACGGCTAGCAAGCAACACCGGCAATCCCGTCCAACGCACGATGCATCGCGGCGTTTTTGTTCGACAACGTTATCGGATACGGAAGCGTTCTCTGGCTAGTCGCGAATTCCTCGCACGAACGAACCGAGGAACCGAACGAACGCAGAGGCGATGTTCCTCGTTTTTCGAGCAACTTGATTCGATGGTAAACGAGCGACACCCGGTAGACTGGACGATCCAATTCCTCGGCCGTTCGTGTGCACGTACCGCCGCCTCGACCTATCCCAACGTAACAGATGACTATCGAGCACGTCGAAACGGTGGCGTTCCTCACCCTCTTTGAATTTCGAGTGGCCACCAGCCCGCTTTCTTCTCGGTCAGACCGTCGTCCTATCCGCTCGATCGAACCAGCTTTTTCAACGAATCGAACGAACGAACCGCGTAACCCGAGAGATCGAAGAATCGAATCGGCGAGAAAGAAATCGTGGATCACGATCGTACGTGGAAACGCGTGAAAACGTATACACGCCGCGAGGGTTAATCGCGTCTGTCGCTGACTCGCCGTTCGAAGAAGAAAGAACGAACGACAATAACGCGCGCAGCAACGACTCGTCGAAAGGAACGCGGCAAACTTCCTAGATGCATATCGCGATATCATCGAGAACAATTCCAAATTCAGCGATCTCTCGCCGATCTACTTTTTCTGTGATCCGCGCGCGGATCGTTCGCTGCTCCTGGGGTAAAAGTGATTTCTCCTTTCTTCTGGAATCTCACCGAGCCTCTATGGACTTTCCTGCCGGTCGTTCTCGCGGTCGATCGCTATTTCCCACGACGAGTCGGGGAAATACGACTTCTCGTGGCTGCGAGAGGAGAGAAGCGAGTAGAAACAGGAATCGTTCGTTCGAAAGCGGTAAACCACGAAAACAACGTCCCACGAAATTCTCGTCCGTTCGCCTTCCTCTCTAAGCGCGTATCTCCTTCGGCTCGTTACCTGTCCGCTACTTAGAAGAAAACAAAGCGGAACGGGAGAGTGGGAAGGAGAGAAAGGGGGAGCGAGGGGGACAGGCGAGAAGGGATCGAAAGGGCCTGGTCGCAAAAGTAACAGTACCTACGGATAGTTCGCGTAAAGCAAACTCTCGCGAAGCGAACAAGCCAGCCGGCGTTTTCTCGTGTGCGTTTCTCGCCTATGTGTACGCGTATTCTCCTACATGTATACACCGTCTTCTCCTCCCCTTCTGCCTGCCCACTCCCCTTCTTCTTCTCGTGTACACACACGAACGAAAAAAGCTGCGGGTGTGTAGGAGAGCGCGTGCGCGCACGTGTAACGTCGGTGGAGCGTAGGTACGTGTCGCGTGCGCGAGTATTCGCCTGTGTACGTGCATGTGTATACGTACGTACGTGGCGTGTATGCGTGTATAGAGAGGTCTGGTGGCTGCTCGGCTGCCTGCCTCGGCTCTCGGGTGCGCTGCCCGCCAGGACGTTGAACCCAGCGCGACTCAACCTGGGGATCATCCGCGGGTACAACCAGCCCTCCTCCCTCTCCTCCTAACCCCTCCACATGCCCCACCGATACTTCTCGCTGCTCTACCTCCTCCTCCTCCTCCTCCTCCTCCACCACCTTCGCTACCGCGTCTCTCTTCTCGGTCTCGTGCCTTCTTTTCCTCTCTCCGATCGTCTTTCTCTCGCTCTTCGTCGGCCGTTGCTTCTTCCTCTTTCCTCTTAGTAGCCTCGCCCGTTTCCCCGCGATATTTCGTTGCCCAGAACCCCGCAACGGGGTACCGCCAGTCGCCCCACCTGCCCCGCGTACGAACATTCTCCAGGGGCCGTCGTACCCACCTGCATAGGATCCTCTCCTCCTTGGGACCAAGTGCTCCTTCGCACGCACGGTAAACATTTTTGCAGGTGAACACGTGATATATGTTGCGCGGACGAGTCCGTCCGATCGGGCGTACGCGATAATTGCCGGGTCCGACGGTATGCTTTTTCATCGGACCCAACTCGGTCTTTTCCTTTTTACGATCGTTCTCGACCGATCGGTACCATTTCGGTCGTCTTCCGGTAAAATGGAAATTACGTATATACGATATAACGTACATAGGAATACACGTAGGAGAGCGATTTTACTCCGATTCTTTGCCGTAATCGCCGAGTAAGTAAATTTTCGACGAGACGCGAGTTGCAAGTTGGAAAGGAAGAGGTGGAAGATAATACAGCGGGGCCGTTTCGCGCGGTCCGTGCCATCGTTCTCGACTCGCAGTTGTAAAGCTAACGGTTTCCTCCGCGGTTCACGCACGTGAACGCTGTGGAAGC